GTGAGAAGGAACTTTTTACTGAAATCTGGCAGTGAAAATAAATGTGGAGATATCAAAAATGAGGAAAATATGCAGTAATGGTGTGCAAACCTGTTATATTAAAATATAAAGGAGGCCCTGGCCAGGTAGCTCAGTTGATTAGAGCATCTTCCCAATATGCCAAGGTAGTGAGTTCGATCAAAAAGCAACAAAAAATTGCATAAATAAGTGGAGCAACAAATTGATGTTTCTCTCTCTCTCTCAAATCAATAAATTAAAAAAATATATAAATGACATCTTCAGTCAGGTCTAACTGAATTACCTTTAAGGACCAGAAATGTATTTGACTATCCTGTAATCATATCAGTGTTCAAATGTGTGTGTAGTTTATGTGTGTAATTTCAGGCAAACTCAAATGGCAAAATTTTCAAACTGCCTCCTTATTTCATTCTTCTATGTGAACTTTTGCTCTTTAATCCTTACTCTTGACCAAAGGGTGTTGTGAGTTGTGGGGCATGAAGGATGGAGTGTCAGAAATATTCCTAATGTAGGACACAATTTGATAAATAATATGATAGATAACATAGTATGATACAGGAGAAGTCTGTTCTCTAGAATTGCCTAATTTTAGTTATTGAGGAAATGTATGAAGACCTTTATTTAATTTTATTCTGTCACATACATTACACTTACATGGAATAATAAATTTTGATACAACTCAGTTACAGGATATAGCAGGAGCAAAAAATTTGTCATAGAGTTCTTTAAAATAAGCAAAAACTACAGGTACTTGTGCCAACATATATCCAATAGGTACTCAGTAGATCCCTACTGACTTATATATGTTGACTTTCTTAAAAAATGTGCCAACATGAGTGAAAGAACCTAAGAACAAGGGTGAAGCACTGTTTGTAAGGGCTGAAGACTGGAAATGTTTGGCAGGAAGGGTCTAGCAGGTGGTGGTGGTGGTGGTGGTGGTGGTGGTGGTGGTGTGTGTGTGTGTGTGTGTGTGTGTATGTGTGTGTTACAGGTATCCCCCATTTCTTGAAAGTTCATCTTGCATCACTTTGCTTTTACAAAAGAACTACATTAGTACCTGTTTTTGCTGACCTAAGCAAGAGCATTTTTGCTTTTATGAAAGATGTGAAAAGGGAAAATAGCATTCAGCATTTGTTTTGCAGTGAGGCACAGCGCACACCCTACATGGTGAGAGTGGCACTGCTTTTATTATGTGTTAGTGTCATTTTAGGTTTCATGTGTTTGGTATGATTTGGTATGATTATTGCGGGTGTCTGGGAACACTAAAAAATTTTTCTATATAATTGCTTCTTAGGAATGCTCTACTTCTGGATAGCAGGGGCTATCCAAAAGTAGACACGTGTGTGTGTGTGTGTGTGTGTGTATGCATATATACACATAAATATGCACATATGCATATATATGTATGTAAATGCTTCAAATGAATCTGCAGACATAAGACACTGTTACCAGTGGTTTTCTCTAGGAAAGAAAACTGGTGGCAGGAAGACCAATGGTGGAAGGACACTACCTTTCTTGCCTACCCTTTTATACCTCTACAATTTTGTACTGTATGCATGTAGTACCCATTCAAAAAAAAAAAAAGTGGGACTAACTCTCAAATTAATGGTTTAACCGTATTTATCACTGTTTGCCTGCTTTCTTTCTTTCCTCTAAAAGCATGTAGCCACTGGATTAATCTTTTTAAAGCTCCACTTTTAACATGTTACTCACATGCTCCAGAAGCTATACCAGTTCCCTATTGCCCGCATACGCACTCAGTATCCTCTGCCTGATCAGCAAGGCTCCCTCTCCACATGCCGGCCCGGGTCTCATCGTCATGCTAGCCTTATAGGCTTTTCTCTCCGACACACTTTGCTGTAAGGTCGTTTTGCGTATCGTTGCCTGAACTTGCTATGGACACTTTCATCTTTCTATGACAACTTATGTGTGTTACCCGTTCCTCCTTTCCATTTTGTGAGAAAGCTTCAACGACTCCTGTTAGATTTTCCTTCAAAACCACAAAATTTAGCACTTAATTATGTAATGTGCTAACATTGCTTTTAAATTAATCTTATATTCTCAACCAAATTAATTCACTGATATGGCAGGCGTGGTGATTAAAGCATGTTCCTATTGAAGGAACAAGGGTCAGAGTTCAGCATTGTTTCCACTGCACTGTTTCCTGTAAGCAGTCATTCAGAAGACACAACAGTTGGACCAACCAATCAGCCTGGACAGGGGCCAAGATGCCCATGAGAGGGGAAGACTGTGAGGGCAGGATTCATTTCATTCAGCCAATAAATGTGAAGTTCGACATTTTGCAGTTTTTACACTCTTGTTTTTTTATTGCTTCCTTTTTCTTATTATAAGAATAATATATATACATCTTAGCAAATACAGATAAATAAAAAGAATAAAATATAGACCTCCTGTGACCCTATTATCTAGTGACAACTGATCTATTTTGGTGTATGTACTTTCTCATAAATATACAATGTATATTTATAAAACTGGAATCACACCATACCTACTTGTAAAATTTTATGTTTTTTACTTTTTAAGTTGAGATAAATTTGATGATAAATTTATACTCAGTAACATGTATAGGTCTCAATGCTCAGTGAATTTTTACATGGTACATACTGTTTTCTAACAGAAATGTGAACATTTCTCAGGCATTAAATATGTTTCTACATCATTTTAAATTACTATATGATACACTGCAGAATGTGAGAACATACATGGTGGTTCAAGAAAAAGAGCCTCGAGTTGCAGTTAATACAATAAAACATAAGCATTTACCAAAATTCTTTTTGTAATTTTCTTTTTTGTTTTTCAGAACAACGTTAAATGTTGTCCTGTCTGCTCTCAGGATGGAGAGTAAAGGAGCAATACTTTTTTTTTTTTTTTTCGTGGTCAGGGTTGTCTAGTGCTTGAGGAAATTCACATCACTTTTCTTTTTTTAAAAAAAGATTTTATTTATTTATTTTTAGAGAGAGGGGTAGAGGAGAAAGAGAGGGAAAGAAATATCAATGTGTGGTTGCATCTCATGTGCCCCCCACTGGGGACCTGGCCTGCAACCCAGCCATGTACCCTGCCTGGGAATTGAACCAGTGACCTTTCAGTCCACAGGGCAGTGCTCAGTTCATTGAGCCACACCAGCCAGGGCAACATCACTTTTCTTTTTAATTGTAGTAAAGAAAAAAAAATACACACACACACACGCATGCACACACACAAACACACACATAAATATATATAAATATGTAGTATATACATTTATGTTATATATAACATGAATTTTGTTATATAAAATTTATATATTTATATATAAATAAATATATAAATAAGTGTATATATTTATATATAAATTTTATATAACAAAATTTACCATTTTAACTCTTATAAGTGTACTGTTCATTGGCATCAAGTACCTTCACATTGTTGTGCAACCATCACCAGCATTCATCTTCAGAACTTTTCTCATTTTTTCAAACAGAAACTTCATACTCATTAAATACTAACTCCTCATTTGACCCCCGTAGCCACTGGAAATTTTTATTTCTGTCTCTATGAAGGTGACTCCTCTATGTAACTGATATAAGTAGAATCATACAGAATTTGTCCTTCTGTGTCTGGCTTATTTCACTTAATGTCTTCCAGATTCATCCATATTGTAGCATGTATCAGAATTTCCTTCCTTTTTAAGGGCTGAATAATATTCATTGTATGTATATACTGCACTTTGTTTATCTATTCCTCTGTCAGTGGACTCTGGGTTGTGTCTATCTTCTGAATATTATAAATAATGATGTTATGAACATGGGTGTACAGAAATCTGTTCATGTCCCTGCATTCAAATCTTTTGGGTTTGTACTGAGAAGTGGAGTTGCAAGATCATGTGGTAATTCCATGTTTAATTGTTTGAGGAATCACCATCCTGTTTTCCATAGCAACAGCTTTACATCATTTTAAGGCCATGTCCAGTTACTTTGGTCAGGATTTTGTGATGTCCAGATAGGTCTCCAAATGCCCCAAGGAATGTGAAATTTCTAAAACAAAATTAATTACTTTATTAAAAAAATCCCATACAGAACTTTTGTCAACAGAGGATATATAATGGTTAGTAAAAATGGTGTTTCAGTGCTTTCTTTCTCTTCAGAAATAAACCTTTAAAAAGATGTGGGTTTAGTGAAAAAGTAGTTTTTTCCAAGATGAAAATTAATGGATGAATTTAAAGAGTTAAGGCAGTTATGATTTTGTGTACCTCACTACTCACCTTCTTCTGTAAATCCTAGACCTGACCTGCATTTCCCAGGGCCACAGTGAGCTGAAGCATGGAATTCCCTGCACACACTCCAGGCCAGGCACACTCCTGAAACTGGAGAGAGCCAGCCCAGGAAAAATGGCACGCAAATCCACCCCTATCCTCATATAGTTCTCATTCTCCTACTTTATTTCACTATTTAAATGTTTGGATGTTTCTTGTTTGCCTCCCTCTGTCAGAATGTATGCTTCCTAAGAACTCAGACTTGTTTACCATACCTTTCCTACATTCATGCTGGGAACAAAATAGGTCCATAATAACTATTTGTTGAATGAATAAATTACCAAATGAATGAAAATTTGCTTTCCTAGTCTATTTCCTTCTACTAAAACTATTTAAAAAATTCCGAAATTTTCTAAACACTCAGAAAACCACTCACTACTCATATTGTCAAATCCTAAGGTTTTAGCATATTGTTTCAAATTTTCTTTTGTCACTTAATAAGAAGGAAAAAATAAAAAATATATAGGAGTCGGCTCACTTCAGGAGTATGTAAAAATGGACAGCCTTTGTTCATCCACAAGAGGAAAGGTTCATCTGCATCGCTTACATAAACTCAGACTACAAATCCCAGGCAGCACTGCAACAGTTAAGTATGCGGTTTATTATTTTTTTCTTCTGTAAATAGCCAATGGAAGGTAGTTTACACAAGTCTCGGGTGACATCTGGTGTATGGACTGTGTCCGGCCTTGAATCTAGTTAGTGCAGTTTGGAATATGCTGCTGTAGACCAGATTTTAAAAGGCTTTTCCTGTTAATTCGCAGCTCATTGTGCCTCTTGTTTCAGGGTCGCGAAGAGCTGATTTAGTGATCTAAATGGACGCAATACTGAATTACAGGTTGGAAGATACTGAAGATTACTACACGTTACTGGGATGTGATGAATTGTCTTCGGTAAGACAATGGGTAATGCTGTTTTTTTTTTTTCCACAACAGTATTTCAAGTTTTATTTAAGATTTTAACTTCGAAATTTTAGTCACATTGCCTAAAAACCTAATCTTGTATTATTTTAAAGCACTTTTGGCTCAGAGAAAGGATTTAAATGTGCATTAGGTCTTTGCTTGAATAGTGTCCTCTTGCAATTTTATGGACACTTCTGATTGAATATATGTGTTTTGGCGCATGACCATAGAACTCTATTTCAAATATGTTAAAAATAGATACTTAATATTTTGTTGTAATTGCTGTTGGCTGTGTTGCATAGCATACATAGCTATAGCTTTATCATCATAATTTACATTATAACTGATATGAAATGTAATTTTCTAGTAATTAGTGATTTTAAAATGTTTTATTAAAATATGTACTTTTATGTGAACAGCTAAATTATACAAACCAAGAAGCATCCTATTATGTTACTATTTCAAATTGTGTGAGAGAAATTACTTCTTAAAAGGGTGGCTTCCTACATAAAACATGTGAAAATTCTGGAATTGTTCATTTGATTCATAATGGAATAATGTTTTAAAGGTCCCCATAGACAATTATAAAGGTTGTAAAAGTTTCTTAAATTATGGCAAACTCATTCATAATTCTGCCTCCCAAGGGTAACACTATTAATGTTTGATATATTAATCTTCAGTCTTTTTCCTATACATATTTTTGAGGACATGTTTGGGAAGATATATGTACTTGTTGATTCCTGCTTTTTACCCACTAACATTAAAACAAGGATTTCTCCGTGCTATGAAACATTCTTCATACAGATTTTAATGATTGCATAATTCTATTGTACTACAATTGATTATTCTGTTATTGTTAAATATTTTATTTATTCCCATTTTTCAATATTTTAAATACTGTTGAGATGGATATGAAATATATTTCAATATTATTAAATATATTCATATTTTATATTTTATAAGTATATATTTTAAAATCTATTTTATTTTATTCCTAAAGTATAGTTATTAGTATTAAAATATTTTAAAGCAGGGAGAATGGGGGAAAGGGTACATGGATTAAGAAGCATTTTGGTAGGTACAACATAGACAGGTGGATGTGAAGAACAGTATAGGAAATGGAGAAGCCAAAGAACTTATAAGCATGACCCACGGACATGAAGTAAATGGGGGCTTTGCTGGAGGGAATGGGGGTTCAGGGAGGAGTGGGGACAAAATGGGAAAAATTGGGACAACTGTAATAGCATAATCAATAAAATATATTTTAAAAAACATTTTAAAGTAAAATATTTTTTATTTATCCTTGTTTTATATATCTGGAATTTAATAATAAAATATACTTTGGAGAATAGAATGTGATATTGGACACAAAGGATTAAAACCTTTATTATCACTCTGAGGAGTTGATCTTAGGTATCTTGTAGTTATACACACACACACACCCGGTTATAATGCTCTTTTAGGTGCATATTTCTCCTTTAGGATAATATGTTACTCTTGTTTACTTTGGTGTTGATTTTGCTTATAGCAATTGAGAAAGCTTATTGCCATTTTACCGTATGTGTTATTTACACCTTGGATTCTGCTATTGCCAAATAAGTTTTGAAGGAACTATCAGAGGAACAGCCCTGACTGGTGTGGCTCAGTTGGTTGGGTATCATCTCGCAAAGGTAACAGTTGTTAATTCCCACTCAGGGCCCACATCTGGGTTGTGGGTTTGGTCCCCCAATGGGGCGCGGATGGGGCATGTGTGAAAGGTAGCCTTCCCGCTTAAAAATGTTTCATGCCGTTTTTGAGTATTTAGTGTGACATTTCCTTCACTTGATTTGTATTGGCTGGGGCTCTTTTACTTCAAATATTCCTTGATTTGATGCTCGAAAAAACTGACCAGAACTGTTCTTTCCAAAACAATTTAGCAGTTAAAATTTCAAATCCACTTGATATTTTTATTCTTAAAATAATTGAGTTGAGACACATAATTCTTTTGCCTTAGTGCATAGTTCTTACAATTTACAGCCCGTGTTAGAAATTAATTAAATTACATATATAAACTATGAGAGGATTTCTATACTATTGAGTAGAAAACAACATACCCTCCCCGCGCCGCCCCCCCCACCCCGCCATTTCAAAAACATTTACGAAAGTCGGAGTCCAAGTCAGTTAACTTTTCCTTCCTATATCTGATTTTACACAGAAGACACATGCTATAAAATCTTCTAAGTCTCTAAGTGATGCAACACCACACACTAGTAGTGTAAGGCATTCTTCTGATGTGGCTCTTATTTGCTTTTTAACATTTGGTCACCATTTTACAGTAATGACAAGAAAACTTGATTTCAAGATTTCATGGACTTGAATATTACATAAACTCATAAAGGAAAACAAATTTTTTTCTAGTTCTTTTTCTTATTAACTACAGACCACCTGGGTTTAAATCTTACCATTTGCTAGCTGTGCCACCTTGGGAAGATTACTTAAATTTTCTATGCTTTGGTTTCCTAATCTGCAAATGGGGATAATAATAGTACCCACCTCACAGGGTTGTTTTGGGGATTAAATGACATACAATATAAAGTGCTTAGAACGGTGGCTGACACAAAGTAAGTTGTTGTGTTGTTGGTGTTTTTTTGGTCTCACAGTAATACATGGAGCTCTGTAAATTTATCCTTATTCTATAATTCACATTATTTAAAAAAAATTCATGTTATTTTTAAAAGTTTTATTTAAAAATGATTTTTAATAGATTTGTTAAGCACAGTTTTAGGTTCATAGAAAAATTGAGTAGAAGGTACAGAAATTTTCCATATACCCCCTCCTCCCACTCATGCATAGCCTTTCCTATTATCAACATCCCCACCAGTGCGGTATACTTGTTACAACTGATGAATCTACATTGACACATCATTATAACCCAAGGTCCTTAGTTTACACTATGGTTCACTCTTGGATTTGGGCAAATGGATAATGACATTTATTTACCATTATAGTGTCATATAGACTAGTTTCACTGCTCTAAATACTTTCTTTTACACCTATTGGAATACTTTTTGACTTACAGAAAAAGTTAGAAAAATAACACAGACAGTTTCTGTATATAAATCACTCAGCTTCCCTTAATGTTAACATCATACTTAATGGTAGTACATTGATCAAAATCAGAAAATTAATATTTGTACAATAGTATTACCTAAAGTAGGGGCCAAGAAGCATTTGTGTGTGTGTGTGTGTGTGCTCACACAAGCAAAGGACCAAATAAGGTCAGGACTAGGAGGAGGCAAGCAGGGTGCTTACAATAAAAAATTTAAGGAGGCAGTGACTTTCAGAGTTAAGCAAGTGCAGAAATCTGAGAGAGAAAGAGTACTTCCTTAAACCCAGGTGCCCGGCATTTCTCATTGTGGTGCTGGCCCTGAGCTAGCAAATATTTTAGACTGCAAGACTTATGATCTCTGTCACAACTATTCAGCTCTGCCATTGCCAGAAAGTAGCTACAGATAATACATACATGAATAACCATGGCTGTCTTTCCATAAAACTTGATTTAAAAAACAGATGGGGGAGCCAGATTTAGCCTGTGGACCCTTGATGTGAAGTATAGGTCTCATTCTAATTTCATCAGTTTTTCTACTAATGTTCTTTTTCTTTTCCAAGATCTAAGCCAGGGTACTTTTTACACTTAGTTATCCTGTTCCCTTAGTTCCCTCCAAGATGACAATTTCTTATACCTTCCTTGACTTTCATGACCTAGGCACTTTGAAGCATAAGGTCAGTTATTTTGTATAATGCCCCTTAATTTCGATTTGTCTGTTATGTCATGATTAGATTGAGGTTGTATGTATTGGGAAAGAACACTGCAGAAGTGGCATAGTGCCTTTCTCAGTGTATCGTGTCAGGGTACATGATACCGATATTTCTTATTAACTTTGATCACTTGGTTAAGGTGATGTCCATCAGGTTTCTTCTGCCAGGTTTTTCCACTGTAGGGTTACTATTTTCCCTTTTGTAATTAACAAATATATTGGTGGACATTCTTTGAGACTTTAGTGTTTCTTCTCAAACTTTCACCTACTGATTTTTAGTATCCTTTGGCAAATCTTGCCTGTAACAGTTGGTGCTAATGTGTTTGCTTAATGGTGACTTTCTATTTTCCTCATTTTATATTTATTATTTGGAATTCTTGTAAAGAAAAGCCATCGCTCTCCCCCATTTATTTATTTATTTAACTATTTTGTCACTGTGAATTAATAGTTATTGTATTTTATGTGTTATAACCCAGCACGACCATTATATATATTTTGTGGTTCAATTTTTTTTTTTAGCTCATGTTTTAATTAATTATCATTTGATTACAATGATGTAGGATCTCTCATGGAATTTACTTCAGGAATATGTCTAATATTTGGAGTTTTGTGTGGAAAATTCACTTTCAAATGAATTGAAATGATGGATATTAATTAACTTATTTATTAAAAATGAGTTTTGCCTTTTCTGTAGCATATAAATTTCCATCACTAAAATCAATTCATTTTTTTAATGAATAGATTACGATTTTCGGAAAGCTCTTATTAAACTACAGTCATGTTATTTGAAGAATATCTGCCAGTCTGTAATCAAGTGTTTATTCAACACTTGGCATCAGGCCAGTACTAGAAGCAATAGGGGGGAAAACAAAACAAAACAAAAAGGTGAGACATGGTATGAATGTATAAGGAAGTTAACATCCAGTTGAGGAGTCAAAGCTAGTACACCAGAAACAATTTGGGATAAATCAGTACTGCGCTATGTGGTACTGTCTATAAGTGCAACAGGAATTAAAGAAAGCATATCCAAAAAGACTTGAGAGAAGAGATGGGGCTTGAAATGACTTTATGAGGTCAAAATTTAGATGCATGGAGGGAGAGACAGAGGGCATGCGTGTAGCCAGGGAAAGCAGGACAAGATCTGTCCAAGTGGGAAGCAGATTAGTCATTATTGCATGCTAGGGTATTTCCTGGCGCAGATCAAAATATTGTGCTAATTGGATATGGGAAATATGTTTTAAAGTTTGATTTCTAAAATTAATATATATTTGATAAGGAAATGTGGAGTATGAAGAGAGCGCAAAGAAAAATGTTAACCTAGACACTTAATATTTGGGCCTATGACATATGCATGCCAATTATGTGTGCATATGCATATGCTAGGTCTGTGTATTATATAAATAAGTACATGCATACATGTGTATATATGTATATGTGTTTGCAGTCAGACTGCCTGAACTCAAATCCTGGCCACTTACTAGCTGTGTGGCCTTGGGAAAATTATTTGACTTTTTTATGTTTGGTTTCCTAGTTTGCAAAATGGGAATAATAGTAGTACCCACCTTACGGAGTTGTGGGGGGAATTAAAAAAGATGCTGTATGTAAAGTACTTAGAGCAATGCTTGTCACATAGTAAGTCTCAATAAATCTTAGCTATTATTGTTATTGTTATTATATATGACTTCATTTCTTTTGAGTTAAAACATGGATTTATACTGCACAAAATGCTTGTAGCTTACCTTTTCTTATAGAAATACAGTATATAAATTATCTCAGATTTTTTAAAGTTTTCTATTACAAGATGATTTTATTTATTCATATTTAGTGAGAGGAGAAGGGAGGGAGAAAGGAGAGGAAACATCTATGTGAGAAACATCGATGGGTTGCCCTTTGTACGTGCCCCTGAACCCACAACCCAGGCATGACCAAGAATTGAATTGGTGACCTTTTGTTTACAGGATGATGCCCAATCAACTGAGCCACACCGGTCAGGGCAACGAAATGATTTTTTAATGACTGCAAAATTTTCCAGCTTATGGCTATATTACAATTAACTTTAACAAATATCTTATTACAGACACATAGGTTTTTGTTTATAATGTATAGCATGAACTTTCTTATAACTAAATTCTTTTCCCACCTCTGATTATCTCCTTAGACCAGTTCCTTGAACTGGAATTGTTGGATCAAAGAGTATGAAAAAAAATATCCAAATTCCTTTTCAAGACATTTGCAACAGGGGAGCATGAGAACAGTTCTTTGTACCCTCAGTAACACTGGTCATTATCATTCCTTTGATTTTTTTTTTTTTTTTTTTTTGGACTGGGGATCAAACTGGCGACTCTTTGCTTTGCAGTCTGGCACTCAATCCACTGAGCCAGACCAGCCAGGACTCCTTTGATGCTTTGATTTATCTGAGTACAAGTAATATTTGCATGTTTACTGGTCAACAGGATAGGCAGTTTTCCAGACCATTGAACATGGATCTTGAAATAGAGGACTTCACCTGCCCATGGGTTGCACTTGGCATTGGGCACATGGGGTGGGAATGCCAAGAGGTTAATATTAATAGAATGTGTCCAAGACAAACTGATTTACTAGTTAAACCAGAACCAGCCAACATAGGAGACTTATGATGAACTTTATGACAGTAGAACTATGAAAAGTAATGAAAGGCATATATGGACTATTTGTAATTTTTTAAAATATGAAATTGGCAAAATACAGAAGATATAAAGAAGAAACTAACAATTGCACATATCGGCACTACTGAAAATTAACCATTTTGACACATTTGCTTCCAAAGGCTAATACTAAAATGTTTCCTAATGGGATGAGTATCAAAAAATAAAACAAGAGCAATTAAACCCAAATTTTCTATCTTTGACAGATAAGTATGATTTTATCCATGTATGTTGTTAATATATGCCAAGACATAGAAATATTTAATATTTTAAAGTTTAAAAACAAGTTATTCTCAATTTTCTTTGTTATATAAGCAGATTATGGTGACTGATGGTTAAAGGGATCACCCAGGAAGAAGAAACAGTTGATTACAGTTCTTAACAGGAAATCTATCTCTTCCCATTTTCTAGGAGGTTCTCAGTAGAAGTTTAACAATGAAAAAAATTAAAGTTATTATTCTGGGCTTTATACACATGCACGTCTAATATAGTCTGACCGATTATAAAAGTGAAGCAGTTTTTTATAACTGATTAAGAATGACATGGAGCTGATAAGCGTATGTTTTTCCTCCCATGAATCTTATAACAATATTGAGCTGAGCTGCTCAAGAACTCATTTCTCAAACAAGAGGTAATTTGCTTTTATTAGTTAGTGGATAGTAAATATAGAACTTAATAATAGGTTCCTGAGCCTGAAGAATTCAGTCATATAAAACAGTGGGAAAGATGATGATTGGATTTGAAGCCCAGCTGCTTACTCAACAAAAAACTTAGCTTTTTAAGTGACTAGATAAATGACCTTGGACAAGTTACTTAACCACTGACATTTAATAATTAGCTATTATTATTGAGTTCTTACTATAATCAGGCTTTGTGTTAAGTGCCCTACTTATATTATTTGTGTAATGTAAATATGAGGAAACCTAGCCACTTAGAAGTTGTATAGCTTGCCTAAAGTCTCAGGATAGAACTAGGACTTAAAATGAATCAGTCAGATTCCATAGCCACATAACCATTGTTGCCTCCTAGTGCTGTCATTGTAATTATGATGAATAAAGGCAAGTCTTGATTATTACTGATAATAAGGATTAGATGGGTGAGTGAATGAAATAAAATCAGAGATGGCTCTCAAATGTAATTCTAGTTTGGGTTGAAGATTCTGTTTCTCCAGTCACCAACCAACAACTCTAACCAAGCTGTTAATTGGTAGCAGAGTGATCAGGTTTGAGTTATATCCTTTAAAAAAATTGTGACATTCTTAATAAAACTGAAAAGGGCCAAAAGGCAGGAGGAAGAAACTTTATAATTGATAATATAGAAACTGGACAGTCATCCCTGAATAATGAATGGTGACTAAGCATCGTTTTTAAAAAAACTTTATGTATTTATTTATTTTTAGAGAGAGGGGAAGGAAGGGAGGAAGACAAGGAAAGAAACATCAATGCATGAGAGAGACATCAACTGGTTACCTCTACACACTGCCTTGGTGGACCAAACCCACAACCCAGGCATGTGCCCTGATGGGGAATTGAACTAGCAACTTTTAGCTTTGCAGGATAATGCCCAACATACTGGTATCAGAGCATACACATCTTTTGAAGAACTCAGATCTATGAACACATCTTTTATACATTCTTAGGATAAACCTATCTGACTATTTTTGATATTTAAATATATTGAGTTCATAGGTGTCTTGGGGCATTACTTAAATACAATAACATGTTAAATTGTCATCACAGACCACTCTTTGAATGGGGGCTTTATTGTATGCTTTCTGAATTTTGTTATTGAGGAAATTGTTTCTTAGAATAAAAAGTCAAAATACAAATATAAAGATCAAAATAAAGAGTTGGGTTGATCATGGCTGTGGGGAAGGACCGATGTCCAACTTCTTCCTTCATGTCACTTGAGTTGGACTTTTTAATTTAAACATTGATTTTTGTTTTAGGTTGAACAAATTCTGGCAGAATTTAAGGTCAGAGCTCTGGAATGTCACCCTGACAAGCATCCTGAAAACTCCAAAGCAGGTAGATATTTACTAGATGTTTCACTTGAAGATGAATAGCATATAGAACTAAAAAAACCATTGAATAGTAACTTAATTTTATTTTCTCTATTATTGTTTTTCTTAAACTTATTTCTTTGTTTTTATTTACTTTTTAAAAGGTTTTATTTATTTATTTTTAGAGAGGGGAAGGGAGGGAGAGAAACATCAAATGTGTGGTTGCCTCTTGAGTGCCCCCTACTGGGGTCCTGGCCCACATTGTGCTCTGACTGGGAATTGAACTGGTGACTCTTTGGTTTGCAGGCCGGTGCTCAATCCACGGAGCCACACCAGCCAGGGTGATTTTCTCCATTTTTCTTTCACTTACTTTTTCATTCAATGCCAAAGAATGTTTTTGCGCTATTGAATGGGAGGAGGGAGGGGAAAGTGTAGGGTCTTTTCTCTAATAGTAGTCATTTAACATCCATTTTTCTTTCTGGTGTAATGTGCTGCTTCATGGTTTATGATTTGTCCAGTTTATGTCTTATTTCACCAACATTGGAGTGTTAACATAACTTAAGTATGTTTTTAACCAGATGGTTGTTTTGATAAGAACCTTGCAATATTTTTTCTTCATTTTAGGGACCTGAGTATGTCTATATATAATATATATCCATATATATGATAACATGTAGATACTTTTATGTTTTCCTTTTTGATAACTTAAATTTCATTAGCATAAATTTAGACATAAATGCTTATGTATATCTTAGCTTGAAAAAGTACTAACAAACTAATAATCCTTCCTTGACCTGCTTCCTTCCTGCTCCTCTTCTATCTCTCTCCTTCCCTTTAGAGCCAAGCTTCTTGAAGAAGAAGTCCACAGTTGGTATCTTTACTTAATACACCCAGTTTTCAATTTATCCCAGTCTGACTTCCTCCTCACCTTTCTTGGAAACTGCCCTTGTAACAGTCACCAAGGACTTCTTGGCTACCAAATCCAGTGGTTGATTTTTTTGTCCTCACCTTCCCCGAGCTCGCATCAGAAGTTGGAACTGTTGATCATACCCTCTTTCTTGAAACACTCCTTTCTCTTGGCTACAGCATAAGCATTCATGCTTTCCCTCCAACCTCTTAAGCTGCTCTTCTTTGTGACTTCTTCTCTGCTGCCTTACAGTAGTCTAAGTCTGTGGCTTCAATAATCAGCTCATTGTTGATGGTTCCCAAATCTATCTTAGTTCTTGTTCCTCATTTTCAGACTGTAGTTATGACTGCTTCTTAAAAACCTTTATTTGGAGACATTTCAAAGTCACCCTGTCAAAAACTGGACTGACTCATTATTCTCCTCTCACCCTTGCTAAAATCTTGTTAACTTTTTAATGTTTCCCCATCTCAATACATGGAACTACCATCCTTTTAGTTGGCCAAGCAAAAACCTTGCCTTCCTCCTCTCCACATCTGGTTGACGCAGGTGATTTATCTTCCACATTTCTCTCCTCTTCCCTCCATCCTCACAGCCAGTACAGTAGGTCACTGTCATTTCATGCCTGGATCCTTATAGCTGTCATTTAATTGCTTCCCGCTGGAGATAGTGATCTTTCTTTTAAATTATGGGAAAAATAAAATATTTAATATGTATAAAGAATACCAAAACAAATGCCCGGGTAATGTACCACTTAGCTTAACACTTTACCAATGCAGTTAAAGTTTGTCGTGTATTCATACCCTGATTTTATCTTCAGGGTAGGTAATACTATCTTAAATTTGATAATTATGTTTGCTATATGATAGGTATGTGTATATTATTTGTATATGTACGATTTTTCTATAAGGAAAATATGATTAAGACCTGTCTATAACTCCACATTGCACAAATGATAAAACAGAAACTCCTCTTCATTAAAAAATGTTTCTGTTCCTAGGACCTGGCAAGCCAGAGGGGAGGCCCTGAGTTATGTCTGCACTTAGCACCTGTGATTGTTGGGGCGTGGGTGGGTGTGGGCATAAGTATGTGTGAGTGCACAAGTGTTAATGAGTTGTATGTTGCTCATGTTCTGATTATGGAGAATTTGCACTTGGTCAGTTTGTATAGTTACGTATGTCATAATAATGATTTCGTTTCTGTGATATTTTTATCAAATGTGTGACTAAATACGTAAAGATTGGTACAAAAAAGTTGTCCTTATCTTAAAGCTCCTCATTATTTTTCTCTAGAAATCATTGATCCCTTTGATTTATATAAACAGATCATTTTCCAATATAGGAAGTCACTTTTTTTGGTTAAATACTTAACTATTACTTTTGCTCATTTGATTTCCCCCCCTTTTTATTACGGCATAGCTTGTTTAAGGCAATGTGAACAAATCATAAGTGTGCATGTATAACCAGTTTAACTACTTCCCAGGTGAAGATGGGGAACATTTCCAGCACCCCAAGAAGTCCCTTTTCATGTCCCATTCAAAGCACCCCTCCCATTTGTGGATCTCTGTTGTCATTGATTAGTTTTGCCTGGTTTTGAATTTCATAGATATAGAATCATACAATATGTGCTCTTTCGTGTGTGGCTTCTTTTGCTTTACCTTGTGTCTGTGGTACTTACCCATATTGCACATGTAGCTGTAGTTCATTCTTTGTCATTGCTGGGCCTTTAGGTACAATCCCATCATGTTGTGCCCTGACATATCTCCATTTTCATTTTCTCTCCACCACAGTGCCCACGAGTCCATGTTTTTGCCACTCAGAAATACCTTGGTTCCATAAAGTGCTTTGTTTTCTATTCTTCAGACCTTAGTGCCTGCTACTTCCTTTGCCTGGAACCTCCCAGAGGCCTGTACACCTCCCTGCCTTGCTTTGATTGGCTAGGCCACGTTCCACCCTCAGGTCTCAGCTTAGCCATCCCTTCCTCTGGTAGGTCATGTGCGACTTGCAGAGCTCTTTATACGTCAGACAGCAAACTATGGATCAGACCATCTCCTTGTTGCCTCTTTGCTTATTAGTCATACTGGAAGCTCAGTGAAGCAGACCTCCTGCTTATCTTGTTCAGCACCTACCACAGAGAATGTCTGTGTACTTTGTGCAAATAATTTCTTGAGTGAGTGAATGAATGAGTTCATGAACATTTCTTTAGGAGACATTAATTACTTCTCTCAGCTGGAGTTAATATTAAAATAGATGTCCTAACATAAAAGTATAAATATTTGGTAAACACTTGAAACCATCTACCAGCCCAAGGTTTTCTTTAACTGGTTCCCCCCCACCCCCAATAAAGTGTAGCTTTGAGTTGTTTCTTTGACTCTGGAAAACAATTTCTATTTGGGATACATGATGAATCACTGTGTAATCATTGCCATTTGTAGTTGCCATAGTGATGGGAGTTTTCACATATGGACTTCCTCAGAGCTTCTTATTCAGAGAAACACTGCACTGTGTAAATATTGTTTAAAATGAAAAGATATACATACATAAATATCTTCCCTTTTCAATCTTGCAGCTGATAGATGATTCAACCTTTTGGGAGAAATTGTTTTCAAATCTGTTTAAGCATCCATTTATTCAATTTGGATGAATAAGACTGTGAAAATCTAAGTGGTTCTTTACATACTTGAAGAAGGATTAGGGCTCCTTATAAAAAGTATTTTAAGATGTTAAAGGACTTTCAGCCAAGATGGAGGTGTAGGTAGATACACTTTGTCTCCTTGCACAACCAAAAGAAGAACAACAAGAAATTTAAAAATAAAAAGCAACCAGAACTGCCAGAAAATCAAACTGTATGGAAGACTGACAACTGAGGAGCTACAGAAGAAACATTCATGCAGACTGGTAGGAAGGGTGGAGACAGGCAGCCTGGGCAGAGAGTCTGCAAGGCAAGGCAGCAGCTGGAGGACCAGGTGGGTGAGACAGCAGTTGGCAGACCAGGAGGTCCCATCTTTGTGTGTGGTTAAACCATGAGAAACAGCTGGGGAGCGAGACAGACTGACCAATCCAGGGTTCCAGTGGGGGAAAAGAGAGCCTCAAAACCTCTGGAGGTGAAAACCTGTGGGGGTTGCAGCAACAGGAGAAACTCCCAGTCTCACAGGAGAGTCCATTAGAGAGACCCATGGGGTCCTAGAAAGTACACAAACTCACCCTCCTGGGAATCAGGGCCCAATTTGCTCGTGCGTAGTGAGGGAAGTGTCTGAAAGCTTGCTGAGAGCCAAGCAAGTGACCTTGTTCCCTCTCAGACCCCTCCCCCACAGACAGCATCACAACTCAGTGGCCTGGGTTGCCCCACCCTGGTGAATATCTAAAGTTCTGGCCCTTCCAACATAACAGGTAGGCTGAGACAAAGAAATATGGCCCATATGAAAGAACAGATCAAAGCTCCAAAAATAGAATTAGTGATGAACAGATAGACAACCTATCAGATGCACAGTTCAAAACACTGGTAATCTGGATGCTCATTGAATTGGTTGAGTATGGTTGCAAAATGGAGGAAAAAGTGAAGGCTATGCAAAGTGAAATAAAGGAAAATATACAGGGAACCAACAATAAAGGGAAGGAAACCAGGACTCAAAGCAACAATTTGGAGCAGAAGGAAGAGATAAACATTCAACCAGAACAGAATGAAGAAACAAGAATTCAAAAAAAATGAGGAGAGGCCTAGGAACCTCTGGGACAACTTTAAATGACCCAGCATCCAAATCATAGGGGTACCAGAAGGAGAAGAGGAAGAGCCAGAAATTGAAAACTTATTTGCAAGAATAATGAAGGAGAACTTCCCCAATCTGGCCAAGGAAATAGATTTCCAGGAGATCCAGGAAGCTCAGAGAACCCCAAAGAAGTTGGACCCAAGGAAGCACACACCAAGGCACATCATGTTTAAGTTACCCAATATTAAAGATAAGGAGACAATCTTAAAAGCAGCAAGAGAAAAGGAGACAATTATCTACAAAGGAGTTCCCATTGACTATCAGTTGATTTCTCCAAAGAAACCTTGCAGGCAAGAAGGGGCTGGCAAGAAGTTTTCGAAGTCATGAAAAGCAAGGACCTACATTCAAGATTTCT